CTCCTCCTCCCTTCAACGGGTTTCTGCCCACCTTGGTGGGTCCCGAGCAGACTCTGGTAATGGAACAAGAAGTAGATACTCTCTTAAGAAAGGAGGCCATCGAGGTGGTCCCTCCTCACCAAAGAGAATCCGGGTTCTACAGCTGGTACTTTATAGTTCCAAAGAAGGATGGGGGGTTGCGTCCGATTTTAGATCTGCGTCAGTTAAACTGCTCAGTCATGCAACTGAAGTTCAGGATGCTCACACTCAAACAAGTGGTGTCTCAGATCAGGTCCGAGGACTGGTTTGTCACAATCGATCTAAAAGACGCATACTTCCATGTCTCTATCCTTCCCAGTCACAGGAAGTTCCTGAGGTTTGCTTTCGGGGGCGAAGCTTATCAATATCGGGTTCTTCCTTTTGGCCTTGCACTCTCACCCCACACTTTCACAAAATGTGTGGATGCAGCTCTGGCTCCCCTGCGACTCCAGGGCATCCGCATACTCATTTATATCGACGATTGGTTGATTTTAGCTCAAATGGAGCAGATGGCAGTTCGACTTATTTGGGCGTGGTGTGGGATTCGACCACGATGCAGGCACGTCTGTCCCCTGCTCGGATCAAGTCAATCCTCACTGCAGTCAAGAGAGTGAGAGAAGGCCAGTCACTCACTGTCAAGCATTTTCAGAGATTGCTGGGTCTGATGGCAGCTGCGTCCAACGTGATACCTTTTGGCCTGCTGTACATGAGACCCCTACAGTGGTGGCTCAAGACCAAGGGGTTCTCCCCGAGGGGAAACCCGCTTCGCATGCTCAAGGTCACGCGGAGGTGCCTATGTGCCTTAGACATGTGGAAGAAACCTTGGTTCTTGTCTCAGGGCCCAGTGCTGGGAGCTCCTTGTCGCCGTGTAATACTAGCGACGGATGTGTCCCTCACCGGTTGGGTTGACCTTGCCCGCAGTCTGTGGAGCGGTCGCCATCTCACTTGGTACATCAACTGCCTGGAGATGCTGGCCGTGTTTCGAGCACTGAAACACTTTCTCCCAGACCTTAAGAGATCATCATGTGTTGGTGCGCACTGACAACACAGCAGTGGTCTCTTATATCAACCACCAAAGAGGTCTGCGTTCGCGTCCCTTGTACAAGCTGGCGCACCAGATCCTTTTGTGGGCCCAAGGGAAGCTCCTTTCTCTAAGAGCAGTTAACATCACTGGGCATCTCAATATGGGAGCAGACATCCTGTCGAGGCAGGGGCCGAGGCCCAGGGAATGGAGGCTTCACCCCGAGGGGGTGAAGCAGATATGGAGAATTTTTGGCCAGGCTCAGGTGGACCTGTTTGCAACTCAGATGACATCGCACTGTCCCCTCTGGTTCTCTCTGACTCATCCAGCTCCTCTCGGACTGGATGCTATGGTGCAGACTTGGCCGAGGCTTCTTCTGTACGCTTTTCCCCCGATCGCTCTGCTCCCGGGAGTTCTGGAGAGAGTGCGCCGGGACGGGCCCGTCTGTTGTTAGTAGCCCCGTTCTGGCCGGGCCGAGTATGGTTCTCGAACCTGATTTCCCTTCTCGACGGCTCTCCATGGGAGATCCCCGTCAGGAGGGACCTCCTCTCACAGGCAGAGGGCACGATCTTTCACCCCCGCACGGAGCTGTGGAAGTTATGGGTGTGGCCCCTGAGTGGGCACAACTCGTAGCTTCTGGTCTCTCAACTGAGGTTGTTGAGACCATCCTCCAATCCAGAGCTCCCTCAACGAGGAAACTGTATGCCTTGAAGTGGAAACTTTTCACTTCTTGGTGCGGAGACTGCCAGCTCAACCCAGCTAACTGCCCAGTTGGTACAGTTCTGGAGTTCCTGCAGGCGCGTTTTTCCGCACGGTTGACACACTCCACTCTAAAAGTCTACGTGGTGGCCATTGCGGCCTACCACGCCCCTATTGGTGGACAGTCAGTGGGCAGACACCCCCTAGTTACACATTTCCTCTGCGGTGCGCTGAGGCTGAGGCCCCCAGTACGATCTCGCGTCTCCCCGTGGGACCTGGCTGTGGTGCTAGAAGCTCTTTGTAAGCCTCCATTCGAGACTATTGAAGAGATTTCTGATCGCTATCTCACTATAAACACTACCTTCCTTCTGGCGATATCTTCTCTAAAGAGAGTTGGGGATCTACAGGCCCTCTCATTGGCCCCTTCTTATCTTGACTTTGCGCCCGGCATGGCCAAAGTATTTCTCTACCCTCGAGCGGAGTATGTACCTTAGGGTTGGGCCGATTGACGATGCCATCGTCCATCGCCGATGGCTGACAGACATCACGATGTGGAGCCGGCATCGTGATCTGTCCCCCCACCCCCCTCATACCCCCCGCAATCCGCCGCATCCCAATTCTGTGTTTGGAAAGGAAATTAAATGTACTACGGAACCCCTAAAGGGAATAAATAGCCTACGAGATGGGAGGATAAAAAAATATTTCAATACTTTCTCTCACAATTTTATCGTTGGGTAATTATACTGTATTTAAATTGCGGCCATCAGGGAGCCGCTACTAATATGCAGGACATTGAAACCACTTTTAAATATGCGCTCTCATTTTACTTTCACTTTAAAGTTTCGCGATCACACGGACTCTATACTACGGAGCGGCAGTACCTACCACACATTTTACAAGATTAGGTATTTGTCAGTGATGCTCAGTATCTGCAAATCATTCGCCATTGTCCTATCAGTCATCTCTCCTTACTCTGTGTATGTGATAAGTGAACTTTCATGTACTGTAACGTAATAACAGTTTACCGCTAGCAAGCAGCTAACCATGTCCCTTTAGTGGCTCCGTAGAATGCATTATTTGTTTTCCGTGCCTTTTTGAATACGGATTCACACTTCAGGCACACCCCCTAACCCTGCCCCCCGATGTCATCGTCCATCACGATGTTTCACTGTAGACATCGTCCGATGCCAATTTGGTAGACATCGCCTAACGCTAATGTACCTAAAGTTCCCTCTGTTACACCACAGCCTGTCATGCTACAGGCCTTCTGTCCTCCTCCCTTCAGGGAGCCCGACCAGCAAAAGCTTAACTGTATGTGTCCAGTGCGAGCACTGGACACGTACATCCACAGAACTGCCCTGTGGAGAAGGGCGGACCAACTGCTTGTTTGCTCTGGTCCCCCTAAGAGGGGTTTTCCTGCTACGAAGCAGACCCTCAGTTGGTGGATAGTTGATGCCATTACTATTGCCTACAAGTCCTCTGATCTCCCCTTGCCTCTGGGGATCAAGGCTCACTCTACTAGAGGTGTGGCGGCCTCCAAGGCCTTTCTAGCAGGTGTGTCTATGCAGGACATCTGCAATGCTGCGGGTTGGTCCACGGCCCTAACATTCGTCAGGTTCTATGGCCTAGATATGAGAGCCACTCTGGGCTCTTCTGTTCTCTCGCCCTAGCTTCCACAACTGTGCAGGGATTTGTAAGTCTGGCTGCGTGGGCATACTCATTCCCTTACCATTTCGACGCAGCTCGATTTCCTGAAGGGGAACGCCTCCAGGTTACGAATGTAACCATGGTTCCCCGAAGGGAACGAGACGCTGCATCTCAGGCCATACTTCCGGCATCCCTGCAAGCGCTGGCTTCATTCCTAGAAGCTGACGCCGGTTCCGACGCATATGCTTTTATAGCTTCCTGGTCATTACATCACCCGCCCGTAGCATCTCGCCCATCTATTGGCCTGATTACACATGTGATTTGGAGCATGGTCACGCTGAAGGCGTTCCCTTAGCGTTTCAACGCAGTGTCTCGTTCCCTTCGGGGAACCATGGTTACATTTTGTTGTTGTGTTGGACTAATTAAATTGCCTCTGTTGTGTGACTGTGTTTATTTTTTTTTTAATTGCATTGCATTTTGCTTCCTCTTCCTCTCATTCAAATTCAAAATCCTTTGGGGCCAGTTCAATTCAGATTTCATCCTATGACTCAAACATGTAATTTGCCCAGCCCTACTATAAACTACATTTTCAGTCTTTAACTGTAGCTACATTATCTGATTTTCATAATCAAATGGAATCCGTTGTTGTCAACAGACTGTGAGCACCGACAGGGTTCCAGTGAAGCTGCACTATGACAAGTCTCATGACCAGGTTTGGATCCTGAGCTGGGGAGATCTTGAGAAAAACTTTCCAACCCTCCAGGTAAGCCAAATCACGCCAGATTCATCACTGAGTGCTAATCACCACCTGATGCCTCTTCAACAAGAGCACTGGGACGTTCTGCCTAACTACTTCTCTCATCTGATTATTCAAGTATATGAGTCGGCACTGCTGAGTGTGTTTTGATGATTTTAGTTTTGGAGCATTCCCAAGGGATGTAAAATTGAACCAGCATAGCAAGGGGTATCAGTGGGGTTGTATATTGCATAATTGGCACACCCTCATCCCCCATAATGCATAGCTTTGGTTAACATATGCTTTTATAGCTTCCTGGTCATTACATCACCCGCCCGTAGCATCTCGCCCATCTATTGGCCTGATTACACATGTGATTTGGAGCATGGTCACGCTGAAGGCGTTCCCTTAGCGTTTCAACGCAGTGTCTCGTTCCCTTCGGGGAACCATGGTTACATTTTGTTGTTGTGTTGGACTAATTAAATTGCCTCTGTTGTGTGACTGTGTTTATTTTTTTTTTAATTGCATTGCATTTTGCTTCCTCTTCCTCTCATTCAAATTCAAAATCCTTTGGGGCCAGTTCAATTCAGATTTCATCCTATGACTCAAACATGTAATTTGCCCAGCCCTACTATAAACTACATTTTCAGTCTTTAACTGTAGCTACATTATCTGATTTTCATAATCAAATGGAATCCGTTGTTGTCAACAGACTGTGAGCACCGACAGGGTTCCAGTGAAGCTGCACTATGACAAGTCTCATGACCAGGTTTGGATCCTGAGCTGGGGAGATCTTGAGAAAAACTTTCCAACCCTCCAGGTAAGCCAAATCACGCCAGATTCATCACTGAGTGCTAATCACCACCTGATGCCTCTTCAACAAGAGCACTGGGACGTTCTGCCTAACTACTTCTCTCATCTGATTATTCAAGTATATGAGTCGGCACTGCTGAGTGTGTTTTGATGATTTTAGTTTTGGAGCATTCCCAAGGGATGTAAAATTGAACCAGCATAGCAAGGGGTATCAGTGGGGTTGTATATTGCATAATTGGCACACCCTCATCCCCCATAATGCATAGCTTTGGTTAATCACAGACAGAATACATTGAGTTCATCAAAGACATGGAGATTTCTGGCTTATTGTGTTACCATAGAGGTTCACACATCTCCCTCTTGTGTGTGATCATGTGGATGAAAGCCCCAATGAAATTGCATCGCTCATGTTTTTATTGTGACTCTTCCATACATCAGGTGATCAGCCAAGCCAGTGGAAGCACGTCCCACCACACCATCCACACCCAGCCAGTTGGCCATCGCTTCGACAGGGTGGAGGATTTCTTTATTCCTCCCATAAGCCTCACCATCAATCACATCAGGTAAAAAAGAGAAAGACTCCCACCATTATATATATATATATATATATATATATATATATACAGGGCCGTTTCTAGGCATAGGCGAGCTAGGCGGTCGCCTAGGGCGACACCAGCTGAAGGGGCACCAATGAGCGCACGTACTGGCACTTTTAGCAGGGTTGTGATAAAGAGTGGCACGGTCACCCTGAAATATGACTGCCGCCCCCACTGGATCCCCCAACATTATTGGGCTAGAGTACTGTCAATCTGACGATGCCTGTATGCCACTAGATCAGTGCTGTCTGTTGCCTCCTGATTGTTGCATGCAAAGTTTGCATTTGGTGCTCAACAACCCCATTAGATCAGTGGGCTCTGTCAGTGCTTTGGCAAGGTAACACTTTTTTT